TTATTTTTGATTTTTGAACATGGCCGGAGCCACTACCGCGTCTCCTGATTACAATAAAGATTATTAGGTAAATTTAATTCTTTTATTCACATATTATAAGTTATGCCCCGATATGTCTCGTCCGGATGGACATCTATTACTATGTAGTCGTGCCCTTGCACGCGTCCAGACAACAGCGTTCAAAGAAAAATCACTGCCAAAAACCAAATGGCAGTCCTGCGCGTCAGCCCTGGTGTCCTCTGCGCGCGCCTTCAGCCTCATTGTGTTCTGTTCGTTGATTCAGACAGCGTGCATCAGCCTTTGTTCAGTTTTCTGTGTTCGTTCTCTCTGTGTTATGCCGAAGCATAAGACAAAAAAGAGGTATTTGAGAGATGAAGAATCACGAGATCCTTATAATCGTGATAGATTTACACATGGGCATTCGCTCTAGAGATCGCTCGCGAGATCGCCCGCGATACCGTTCGCGCCAAAACAGATATCACAGCCTTTCAGTGGATTCTTGGTCGTCGGGGGAACCATCCACGAGGCACTCACTGTCTAAAGACAGACTCCAACAGACACTCGAACGTATTCAGGAACTGCTCGCCAGAGACGTCGATCATAACCCTAAACTTTCGGCGGGCCCAGGAGGTTAAGTCACCTTCGAGAGATTTCGGTCAGGTAGAAGAGGCGGCAGCCACGCCTGTCTCGACCGATTCACCGGTCATAATACAGAGCAATAAAGGACCGACGGTCGCGAATACGGACCGGGACTTCGTACCAGGTATGTCCTTTTGTCGACCCAAGTACTTTTGGCAAAGAAAGGACATAACCAACGGTTACCTTCGGCTCTCCTTTTTTGGTGTTTTTTCCACCTATAATTTCATATGATGGGACATGTTGCTTCACCAATTCACAATGTCACGTTAGTTCTAACTTTTTATTTTATTTTTTGCCTCATAGCCGCACCCTCCATGGCTGGAAACAATAATCTCGCAACTACCTGCAACGTGTCATTCGCTGTCCCTCCTGCCACTGAAATCGTAGACTCTCAGAACTCGATCCTCGCTTCGGAGACATTTTCCTTGGCTAAAGAGCTTTTCGGGGAGGGGGAATCACCAGCGACACCATCTATCTGGAACCATATGGTTCTAGACGCAATCCAAACAGAATCTCGAAAGGGATTAAACCAGGATGTTCCTGTCAAGCTCCTAGCTAAATACGAAATCAAGGACGATTTAGCAGCATTGGCCCCACCGAAACTTAACAAAGAATTAGCGTCGGTGCTAACTCAATCAGTGGTCAAGCGTGACGAACACCAACTACTAGCTCAGAGTCAAGTTAGCGCCTGTCTCAACGCTTTCGGTTCAGGCATTTCCCTCTTGCTGAAACCAGAGGTTACTCAGTCGCTTGACAATGAGGTTAGGTCGGCCCTAACACTCTTTTCGGAGGGTATTCACTTACTGGCTGACCATCAATATCGGCTTTCAATTGCTAGGAGGGCCTTCACCAAGCCCTCTTTAAATATTACTGGCAAAAATGCGGCGGACTCAGCAGCCATCGACGATTTTCTTTTCGGACAAAATTTTGCAGAGACACTCAAGGCCGCCCAAATCTGTAAGAAGACAGGACGCGAAGTATCTAAGCCTATACCTCAAGTGGGAAAAAAGACTCTTCAACCGGTCCGCGGGACGCTTCAACAACAAAAACAGCCATACATCTACAATAATAAACCGCACCGTACGGGAAACTGGAGGACTCCTGTTCGCGCGTATGCGGCACGGCGAACAGGAGATCGCTATCACAAGAACCGTCCCCACATATCTCAATCTCGGTCACGGAATCGGCGCCGCCTTTGAGCAAGGTAAGATCTGCAGGTCGTTTAAGCAAATTTTACGCTCAATGGGCAAATCTTACCACAGACCCTGTAGTTCTAGAAGCGTTACAGGGATATCGCATTCCCTTTATCACTCAGCCTCCAGCGAGAGTGTCTCTGGAAGAACCCGTGTGGTCTCAATCAGATGCAGTTTTTTGCGAGAAAGAAATAGAACGCCTGCGAGACAATGTGGCCATTGTTCTGGTGGAGCCTCGCGAAGATCAATTCTTATCGCCGTTTTTTCTGATAGATAAGCCATCAAGCGGAAAACGCCTCATTTTGAACTTATAGGAGTTGAATAAATATATCGAGACCTCCCACTTTAAATTAGAGGATTGGCGTACCGTTATTCGGCTTATGCTCCCTGGCACGCAAATGGCCACCCTGGATCTCGAGGACGCCTATCTCCTGGTTCCGATTTCGGTGGACCACAAAAGATTTTTACGTTTCCAGTGGCGTAAAAGAACGTATGAGTTCACAGCTTTACCTTTCGGGCTCTCAACCGCCCCCTATATCTTTACCAAGATCCTTCGGCCCGTAGACACATTCTTACGCAGTAGGGGCCACCAATCTGTGATTTACTTAGATGACTTCCTCCTCATGGGTGCTTCTGCCGAGGAGTGTAGAGCCAACATACGTACCACTATAAACCTTCTCCAATCTCTAGGTTTTATAATCAATTTTTCCAAATCTCACTTAATCCCATCGTCTAGATGCAAATATTTAGGGTTCACTTTCGATTCAATAGAACAATCCATCTCTATTCCTCCCAGTTGTCGGAAAAAGCTATGGCATTTAACTAGGAATTTGGCTCAAAAATTTACTTGCGCGATAAGGGAATTTGCCAGTCTAATCGGTTCACTCGTCTCCGTATGTCCGGCCGTCCAATACGGACTTCTTTATACCAAAGCACTGGAGAGAGAGAAATTTTTAGCGCTCGTCAATAATAATGAAGATTACACAAAGTTTATGAGACTCCCTTCTCATCTACAGGCGGACTTCTCCAGCATCCTGAATGACATAAATCAATCCAACGGAATACGCTCAGGCAAATTTGATAGAGAAATTTTCTCGGACGCCTCTCTAAACGGTTGGGGAGCATCTTGTGGAGAATTACGTACACACGGTTGGTGGTCGAAATCAGACCTGGCTCTTCATATAAACGCCTTGGAATTAAAAGCGGCCTTTAACGGCCTACGATGTTTCACATCTGACCTCCATGATTGCGATATTTTACTACGTATCGACAGTACGACGGCACTGGCCTACATCAACAAATATGGTTCTATCCAATTTCCCCATCTTTCGGCTATTGCAAGGGAAATTTGGCAATGGTGCGAGATCCGTAATATTTTTATATTTGCCTCATATGTTTCATCCTTAGAAAATTCTATCGCAGACGCAGAATCTCGAATCTCAGATCCAGATACAGAATGGTCACTTTCTAATGAGGCTTTTATCAAACTTTCTAACATTTTCGGGCCTTTCGATTTAAATCTTTTCGCGTCTCTAATCAACAATAAGTGCGAGGCCTATGTTTCTTGGTTCCCAGATCTAGGTTCGATTGCAATAGACGCCTTTACCCTCTCACGGAAGGAGGTAAATTTTTACGCTTTTCCACCATTCATTTTGTTGTCGCGAGTCTTAAGAAAGATAGTCGAGGATAAAGCGACGGGCACGGTAGTAATACCGTGGTGGCCCTCACAGGCCTGGTTCCCGTTGTTCTGTCGCCTATTGCTATCAAAACCGTTGGTTTTGTCACCTAATCGCTCTTTACTATCATCTCCTTTCAGGGACCAACATCCGTCGTGGAGAACCTTTCCCTGGGGGTCGGGAGATTATCCGGGAGGCATTCGAGGACCGTTTAGTGCCATCGGCCGCAATTCCAGCTTTACTTGCTTCCTTGTCAGAGACCACAATTAAGCAGTACTCCTATCCGCTTCGCGCCTGGTGGAATTTTTGTCAGCACAATCAGAAGCCACTCTTTTCTCCGTCTGTGGCCCAGATGTTAAACTTCCTCGCTCAAGAACTGCCTATCTCGTCTTTTTCAAGCCTCAACACTATGAGGTCAGCAATCTCCTTAATCTCAGACAACGAGATCGGTAACCACCCTATGGTTAGACGTTTCTGCAAGGGCGTCGCGGTGCTTAAACCACCTCACCCACGATATGATTACATTTGGGACCCGGCACCGGTAATAGCAAAACTGTCTTTAATGTATCCCTACGATTCTCTTTCATCAGCGTCTATCACCAAAAAACTGGTCCTCCGTCTCGCTCTAGGTTCGGGCCAGCGGGCTCAGACCTTCGCGGCTATAAGATTGTCACAAACCTCTCTAAATGAGAAACTAATTATCCGTATCCCTGACCGTATAAAAACCTCGGCTCCAGGTCGCTACCAACCTCACCTCTGCTTCTCACGCTTTGCCAGTCATGCAAATCTTTGCATAGTGCATCTCTTTGAGCATTATTTAGACAGAACTAAGGAATTGCGCCCACCGACTTGCGATTTTGTATTCATTTCTCTTTCTAAACCCTTTAAGGCAGTTACATCTCAGACTATCTCTCGCTGGATTAAACAAACTCTAAAGGAATGCGGCGTTAACACGGCAATATTCTCGGCACATAGCACTAGACACGCTTCGACTTCGTGTGCCGCAAAAAAGGGAGTCTCCCTTGACATAATTAAGCGCACGGTAGGTTGGACTGGGGAGTCTCAAGTTTTCGCAAATTTCTACACTAGGCCCATTATCAGTTCAGAGAACTTCGGTAATTCAGTCTTTATATATAAAAAAAAAAACGCATATATAGGTGTGCGTATGTATATAGTATATGTATGCGTATATAGGTGTGTATGGGGTTATATGTACTTATGTATAGGTATAGATATAGTAATAGGTTAGTACGTAAAAAGAAGCGAGAGAATGAAATGTTTTCCTATTCGAGAGAAACTATCACCTCAGGAAAATACCTATGTGAACCTGGCACCCGACTTTAAGAAAAACAATTTTTTTTATATGCATTGGATAGAGCTAGGTTTGTACCCAATTG